AATTTTTATTCTTTCTAATTAGAGTAAATAGTAATTAATTATTTTTTTAATTTGCATTTTTGATTAATCTTTTTTAATGTATATAAATTATTTCCGGATTGTAATTTAAAACTGAGAAGAAAAGCTTTAAAGTTGATATTTGATTTTTGTTTTTTGATTCAATAATAAATTAAACGCAACGCAATTATTTACCACTCAGTAATTTAATAATAAAATCTGTGCTCGTTAAAATTAAAATTTATTTTGTTGCCTCTGGAATACAATATATATTTATAAAATATATAACAGTATGGAAATTTAATTGACGAGAGAGTTGAATTTTATTTTCTACATATTATTATTGGACAAAAGTTATTAAAATAATACTTTTTATGTTGTTATTTTTATTTAGTAGATTTATAATATTTGTGTAAAATATAAAATTGTAGTATAAAAGTAGTATAAAATTAAAAAAATTTTATTGTTAAATTATATTATTTTTATTATTATTATTAATACTATGAACCTACTATTATTATTTATTCTTAATATTATTTTTACTACTTAATTTTTCTTCATTACTTAGGGATTTCGTAAGTAGTGAAAAACAATTTTCGTCAGACGTCTCTTTAGATTATTTTAATTTTTATATTTTTTATTCTATAATTTTTGCAATAATACTAAAAAATCGCTCGTCTGGCTATAAATGAGTTTTACTACTTACTTTACTTTTGTCATTTAGGATTTCGTTAGTAGTAGAGAAAAATTTTAGTCAGTCCTACTAAAGCCGAATATAAATAATGTAAGTCTGCGACTAAAAATGACCCTTACTACTTGATTTCCTATAGTTATCATAAATAAAAAAAATAAATAAATATAGTCACTTATTATTTCTTCAGTAGTAAAAACTAATTTTTGTTAGACGTCCATTTGTATTACTTTAATTTTTATCTTTTTTTATTATTCAATTTAGTTATTAATAATAAAAAATATTTTCAGTCAGACTTGTTAAAAGAATGAAAAAATCATTTGTCTGACTAAAAATGAGTTTTACTACTAAATTTACTTTTGTCATTTATGATTTTGTTAGTAGTAGAGAATAATTTTAGTCAGACCTATTAAAACCGAACAGAAATTGTTTATGTCTGACTAAAAATTACCCTTACTACTTGATTTGCTGTAGTCATTTATTATTTTGTTAATAGTAAAAACCAATTTTCGTCAGACGTTTATTTAAATTACTTTAATTTTTATCGGTTTTTATTATAAAATTTAGTTAGTAACACTTAAAAAAATATTTCTAGACTGGCTTCTTAAAATTATAAAAAATCGTTCGTCTGACTAAAAATGAGTTTTACTACTTAATTTACTTTTGTTAGATTGGATATCGTTAGTAGTAGAGAATAATTTTAGTCAGACTTATTAAAATAGAATAAAAATAGCGTATGTCTGACTAAAAAAGATTCTTACTACTTGATGGAACTTTTGTCACTTATTATTGCGTTAGTAGTAAAAACCATTTTTCGTCAGACGTCCCTTTGAATTACTTCAATTTTTATCTATTTTTATTATTTAATTTCGTTAGTAATACTAAAAAATATTTTCAGCCTGGCTTATTAAAATCATAAAAAAATCGTTCGTCTGACTAAAAATGATTTTTGCTACTTAATTTTTTTTTATTACTTAGGATTTTTTTAGTAGTAGAGAATAATTTTAGTCAGACGTCTCTATTTACTATTATTATTACTATTCTCTATTGTATAGTGTAGTAATAATGTAATAATAATATTAATAAAAATAATTTAGTGTAATAATAATATTATTATTACTATTTTGTTCAGAAAAAAATTTCATTCAACCAAAACTTAAAAAATATGGTTCAAAAATAAAAAAATAAAGTTTAAAGATAGCATGAGAAAACAGACTGCAACTGAAAAATTGTGCATGATGAAAAGTCTTATTTACACTTTTTTTTAACATATCATGAATATTCATGGACGAAAGTTCATCTCAAGTTTTGTATTTTTTTTTCTCCTCATTTTTTGTAGAACTCTATGTATGCGAAAAGTGGTGAGAAAAAAGTGTAGCATTTTTTTCAAGGTCAATTTTTATTATTATTGTTTATTATTATCATTATGATTATTATTAATATTATGAAGATAGGTAAAACGGTTGAATGGGTCTCGTTTAGTCTTTCTGTTTATTCACGTGAGACATAATCCGAGGATCTGCTATACACTATATATTCTGCACTTTTTTCCCTTTGCCAACTTTACGAGTAATATACAAACGCTATAGTTTCAAAAAAAAAATTTATATAATTTAATCTTTTTGGAACTGTTAAAACTGCAATCTACACTTTTGCTGTAGAAGAAAAATAACTATTAATTTCAGCAGTCAGACAATTTTTGGCACTTGCATTGGACAATTTTCAAGTTTGGTCAGTGACCAATATTTTCTATCCGAGTGTTAATTATCTTTTTCTTTTCTTAGGAAGCAGGACTTAAAGAGTGTTGGATTTTTTTTTTTGGTTTAGAGGAGATTTTGAATTGGTTAATGTGGTTTAAGTAGTAATGCTCGTTTTAAGTCAGACTGGGAATATATCGCACTTTAAGAGGATTTTTTTCACTGTAAATTTCTTTAGCTGGAAATTAGGGAAAAATCAGGAAAAAACAAAATTAAATTTTTGTGGTAACCCTGTAAATAGAATTTAAATCAGATTTTTATTATTTTTATCAAATTATTTGTTATCCTGTGATTAGATCTATTTAGTGTAAAAATTGAAATAAGTAGAAATATTTGAACTAACCGTCGACGGTAAGTACAAGTCAAGACGTTAAGAAAACGGTAAGTGACATCAAGAAAAAAAGACAGTAAGTTAAAATGTGTGAAATTACCAGTAACGGTAAATACAAATACAAACATAATTACATGCATTTACCGTCGTTGGCGCTGGTAAGTCTTTTAAAATTTTTCTCTCACGGTACTTACCGTTTTAATTGTATTCACCGTTGCTGGTAAGTTCAAATATTTCTATTTATCGTCTTTTTGCCTATGTCGGCACTTACCGTCTTAAATTGTACTTACCGTCGACGGTAAGTTCAAATATTTCTAATTATCGTCTTTTTGCCTATGACAGCACTTACCGTTTGTTTACCTTCTTAAATTGTACTTACCGTCGACGGTAAGTTCAAATATTTGAGCTTATCGTCTATTTAATTTCATCATTAACTACACTTACCGTGAATTATCAAAAAATAAGTATTTTAAGTATTTCAGTGGATTTTAACCTACTTTTTTCTAATAATTATTTAATAATAATTAAAAATAGTTTGAAAATAAAATCATGACCCGATAATTTAACGATTTATTATTTTTATTCATCCAATACATTTTTTTTATTCCACACTTAAAATCGAGTATTTCGTTTAATGGCTCTCCCATTCAGAAGGAATTTTCCACCGACCATTATAACTTCCAAGTCGAGGAGGACTTTTATATAGAATTCCGTAGAATTTACTGAACCGAAAAATGTTGGTGATATATATAACTGCGTTTAATTCCTAATGCCGACATTTCTGGATTAACTACACGTGAAAAAAGAAAAAAAAAAGAATTCTCTTTTGTATTGTGAATTGAGTTCGAGAAAATCTATTTCTCTCCAATAATATTATAAAAATGTGAAGAGGAGTTAAATATCAAAAAATTAAAATTAAAAAATGAAATTTTGAATTAGCAGATTTGTTTTTTGGAAAAATTGTAGTTTTAATGAAAAGTAGTTTATAAAAAGTTGAATTAAGAAAGGTAGCTTTTCTTTATTTATATAAATTTTCTTAAGTAATAATGGAGTGTAAATTTATACTTGAATTTCAATAATAATTTAGTTCAAGACAGCAATTATAGTAAGTAATGGTTTTACACATCCAGGTCGAGTTTGTGTCACAGTAAGTCAGATATCAACTGTGGAACGGCCACAAACCGTGGCAGTTGCGGCTAATAGAACCTGCATCATTTCATGAGTAATTTATTATATAGAAGTAATTTATACCTCAGGATTTTACATTAATTATACCTATCTATGGATTCTTGGTTGTTATCATATTATCGACTAATAACTCTCCCTCTATATAAATAACTTTTTGCATTGTAAATTATGTATGGATTACAAGAATGTGAATTTCTATTTACGCTGCCATTATATATCAAAATATAAACTCCCGAGAGAGTTTACTTGAAAATTCACAATTTAAATTGATTGCTTACTTTTCGTTAAATAATAATTCTCAAGCTTCTTTCTTTATTTCTTCCTTTTCTTCAATCTCTTCTCATTTTAGTAAACGAATTATTAATTTAATGTTTATTTATTTATTTAGATTCATAACTGAATGTTAATTGAAAACTGAATTCAAAGTTAAAAGTAAAATAAACTAACTGAACTAAAATTTTTCGTTAAAATTTTTGAGGGGAATCGAACCCAAGGCCTACGGACCTCTAGCCTAACACTCTGGCCACTACCCTAACGAAGTTTTCACTTAAAGTTAATTTCTAGTTCTAAAACTAAATGTTCAGTAAAATTAAAATTTTTCGCTGCGGGGAATCGAACCCAAGACCTACGGACCTCTGCCTGGCCTAACACTCTGGCCACTACCCTAATGAGGCTATTACTTAATAATAATAATAATTAATAATAAATAAATATATATATATATATATATATATATATATATATATATTATTAATTAATAATATAATAATTGAAAGCTGAATGTTTATAAAAATTAAAATATGTTAATTAAAAACTGAATGTTAATTAAAATAAAGATAATTAAAAGCTAAATTTTAATTAAAATTAAAATTAAAAAAACGGAATGTTTATTAAAATTAAACTATAATGATAATTAAAAACTAAATTTTAATTAAAATAAAAATGAAAAAAACGGAATGTTTATTAAAACTAAAATATAATAAGAATTAAAAGTTGAATGTTAATGGAAATTAAAAGTTAATTAAAAATCTTTCAGAATCCTTGGATTCCCATCATCAGCTATTGGAAATATTTAATCCGGTGGTCCGGTGGCTCTACGGATAGGTGAGTTTGATGATTTTTTTTAAATCGAATTATAATTACTCCTTTAAAAGTAAAACAGAAAAAAACATAAATCACTTTTAATGGGTGATGTCGTCTTGAGCTATGTGACCTTAAGACTTAAAGGTTTTCTTCCACCTACTCGTTTTCATCATTTGATGAATATATGACTCTAGAATATCGCACCGAATATCAATCATCTAAATCTACTTACTGCCTCATTCGTCTTTCTTTGTCTCTCTTTTTTTCTATTAATATGGGCATAACTCTTTTGGAACTTTAAAATTTATATTTAAAAAAAAGATAAGTCTGACTAAAAATGATTTTTACTACTTGGTTAGCTTTGATTATTTTTTATATTTTAGAAGTTTGGAGGTGAAACGTGTTATCTACAAAAAGTTATTAGTATAGTTAAAATATAAAGTAGTTTAATCTGCAGTTAAAAAAAATTCAATGGGTAAACTTTGATAAGTCTAACTATATACAAATTTAACTACTTATTTTTTAAAAGGATTTATTTTCGAATTAATTATTATTTTTTCGTTATTTGTAACATCGTTAGAAGTAAAAATTAATTTTCGTCAGGCGTCTCTTTAGATTATTTTAATTTTTATATTTTTTATTCTCTAATTTTTGCAGTAATACTAAAAAATCGCTCGTCTGACTAAAAGTGAGTTTCACTACTTAATTTGCTTTTGTTAGTTAGAATATCGTTAGTAGTATGGAATAATTTTAGTTAGACCAATAAAGACTGAATATAAATTGTGTATGTCTGACTAAAAATGACTCTTACTACTTAATATTCTGTAGTCACTTATTATTTTTTCAGTAGTAAAACCAATTTTCGTCAGACGTTTATTTGAATTACTTTAATTTTTATCTTTTTTTGTTATTCAATTTAGTTAGTAACACTAAAAAATATTTCTAGTCAGGCTTATTACATTCATGAAAAAATTGTTCGTCTGACTAAAAATGTGTTTTACTACTTGATTTTCTTTCATTACTTACGATTTCGTAAGTAGTAAAAACTAATTTTCGTCAGACGTCTCTTTAGATTATTTTAATTTTTATATTTTTTATTCTATAATTTTTGCAGTAATACTAAAAAATCGCTCGTCTGACTAAAAATGAGTTTTACTACTTAATTTACTTTTGTCATTTAGGATTTCGTTAGTAGTAGATGAAAATTTTAGTCAGACCTACTAAAACCGAATATAAATAATGTAAGTCTGACTAAAAATGACCCTTACTACTTGATTTACTTATAGTCACTTATTATTTTGTCAGTAGTAAAAACCAATTTTCGTCAGACGTCTACAATTACTTTCATTTTCATTTTTTTATTATTTAATTTATTTAGTAATAATAAATAATATTTCCAGTCAGAATTGTTAAAATCATAAAAAATCATTCGCCTGACTAAAAATGGATTTTACTACTTAATTTTACTTTCGTTATTAATGATTTTGTTAGTAGTAGAAAAATATTTCGTTATTAGTAAAAATATCAATTTTTATCAATAGTCTCTTTACATTATTCGAATCCTAATAATAGTAGTAAAAACAATTTTAGTCAGAAATCATTTGGAAGTTGTTTACTAGTATCAAAAATGAATATCTCCAACAAAAGTGAGGCAAAAAAAAAAAAATTCAATAATTCAATTCCAATAATCGAAATTATCAGAGGAACGTAAAATTTAAACTGATTTCAAAGAGATGCCCCTATAAAATTGATGATTGTGAAGAAATAAAAAAAGAATTTTTAATTCTAGTTTTCGAGAATAAATTTGAAGAATAAAATTTTAAACAAAAATTTCTCGGAATCGTGACAAATATATAATATAATCTAAGATAATGTGTTCTAGTTTCTTTTATTAATTTTTTTTGTGTGTTCACATCCTATATTATATATACGAATTGAGAGAAATTTAAAATGCATTTTATATTCTGAGCTCGAAAATCTCTCTCTCTCTCTCATCTTCGATAATAATTTTTCAATGCTTTTTGCCTTCCGTATCACGTGGCATTTTTCCATAATGCAGATTTAGCTGCTGCGTGCAAAGTGCACGCAAATTATTGAAATTTTAAAGAATAGGTTGAAAATATATTTTTTACCCCTATAAGTCACACTCTACTTTTACAAGTCCATAGGAAACTTTAGTGCTTTTATTATTTTTATTTTTCTCAAAAAAAAAGTCAGAACATTTGTTGACTCGAAAATGAGAAAAATAAAAAAATAAATAAATGTGTCTACATTTATCTGAATTGTTTTCTTTTTTGCTTTTCTGTTTTCATTCATACTTAATTTTCCAAAGTGTTTTTCTTGAGCTGAAAGGCTCTGTTCAATTTAGAAACTTCAATATCGAAATCCAATAGGAATACATATAAAATAGTCCCTCTTTCGGGGATATTTCTTCATTGCCCATAAATCATGCGGATTCTCGTCTGCATCAGTGACTGTTTTTGGATATTGGAAAAGTACCAAAAAGATTAAAAGTTTCTGCTGACCTCCACTCGAGTGGTCAAATTGCAACAGATAAAGATCAAAGTTTCGGAATTAGAAATTAAAGGTTCTTTTTTAAATTTGTATTAAATATTAAGTAGATGAGATTTTTTTCTGGTGTTTAAAATAACCGTTAATGTTAACTTGACTGTAAATTTCAATACTTTTCTTTTCTTCTTCTCACTTATTTTTGTTTATAATAATTTTCTTTATAATTTATTAAGGTTTTTAGTCATGTTGTTCAAATTGTTGTTAATGTTTTTTTCTCTCTATCGATTCTCTAGTATTTTTTATTTTTACCGTCGATTGCACTTACCGTCATTATAATTATTTCAATTAGTTTTTTTTATTATTAGTTTCTTATTATTTTTTACTGTAGAATTGAAATTTTATTAATTGAACTTACCGTCGCTGGTAATTTCGAATATGTAAACTTACCGTCGTTTGTCCTTAACTTACCGTCGTTTTATTCATAGGGGAAACTTACCGCCTTTGGTACTATCTTTATTTATTAATACTAATATTAATATTATTCTATGTCAATCAGTTTTTTATTATTTCTTTTTCTATTATTTATTGTCTAGTAGAAGTTTTATTAAATGTACTTACCGTCACTGGCACTTACCGTTTGTTGTACTATGAATTTGAATAATATTATTCTTTATTCATCACTTATATTGTTACTGTCGTTTAATTTTATTTAATACTCTCTACTGACCGGTAGTTTCAATATTAGCACTTACCGTCGTTAATAAGTGTTTGTTATTTAGTATTAGAATTACTACGTTAGTAAGTGAATTATTTATCCGTCGACTATGCATTCGGTGCGTTTCAAATACTCAGTACTACAAAAGAACTTACCGTCGTTTGTTATACACCTACTTCTATAGTTTCTGGTACTTACCGTCTAGTAAACGGTACTTATTATTACTAACAACTAAGAATAATAAGTACCGTGTACTGGACGGAAAGTACTCGGTACTTACTGAGTTGTTGGGTTCGATACAAGACTTACCGTCCTTTGATTACAAAAAGACGGTAAGTGACGTAACCGTCATGGTTTTTAGTAAATAAGTCAATTGCATTTACCGTCAAGTGTTGTTATATATCAAATTTACGATAACTTACCAAATTCACGTACCATCCACCTCAACTTCTATCGAATTTGATCCTCCTTTTATCGTACATTAAATTCGAGAATAATTCATCTTTATTAACTTGAAATCCAATAATAGCGAAATGTTGTAAGTAGAGGGATTATTAATATTGCAGTTGCATTTGCAATTAAATTTCATATGAAGGCACAAGAGGGAAATGTTTATCGAGTTGATCGTAAATTTATAATTTTACTATAGTGTAATTCAGTTTTAGTGCGAGGGCAGTATTACGACAGTGTGTAGATATATATCGAAAGCCCTGCGGAGTGAAAATCAAGAGGATATTGATCAAACTCTTAATGTTCTATTGTCATTAGCTGACAAAGCTACGCTGACATTTCACCAACCACGAGTAAACATTGTTACTCGAGAAAGACATTAATGGCACTGACCAAACCCCGCTTTTCTCAGTTATATCAACATTTTTCTTTTGTGAATTCTCTCTTTCGCTGATGGGGCGTACTTTTTAGAATTTACCTGCAATTAATTTTTTATTTTTACATTCTCATCAAAGATGATGAGAAGGTGTATTATCATTTTTTTTTTTTTTTGAAAGGGAAATTTGAAAGTTTTTGTAAGCTTAGAATATTTTTTTACGTTCCTCCATTCTGGTTTCTATATTCTCTCAATCTACTTCTACCTTCTCTTTTTCTGACATTTAAATCCTTCCTTTGGTCTATTTCTTTTGGAGTTCAACTTTTATGGATCCCTTTGTTGCATTCTATTTGCTTTTCTTTTGCCTTGTCAAAGTTCACTTTATACTGCTGGTACTACTAGTTCTCTCTCTCTCTCTTATTTCTCTCTCTTTTTTTTGCAGAAAAAAATTTTCGATTTATTTAAATACAAGTGAAGTTAAAAAATAGTAAGATGACTTGAAAAAATCGTAATTGAACTTACCGTGCGTCTGTCAACTGTCGAATTCCTTACAGTAAGTTGTGCTTACAGTTGACGGTAAGTTTAGTAACTTACCGTCACACACTTATATTATTACCGACAATGACTTCTTTTTCTCTTTCCTTTATAACAGTAGAAAAGTTAAATACTATTTTAATTCTCTTCGAAAAGAATTTTATTTTTTTAATTTCGAAGACACTTACCGTGATCGATGTTATTTCTAGTTAGCACTTACTGTCAATATATATTTCCATTTCTTTTCTTCATCTAATTAAACACTAAATAGTTAAATAATATTTAAATTCTCTTCAAAAGGAATTATATTAGTTCTTCATTTGCAAAGAAACTTACCGTGAACCTCGTGATTTGTTGTTGGTACTTACCGTCAATTTAAATTTCCACTGCACTGAATCCCATGTAAATTCTTCACTATTTTAGAAGTGAAAGGGT